AATTTATGTTTATCTGGAAAAAGTGCAAAAATCCGTCAGCAAAAACCAATTATTAAAAATCAAAACGATTTTTTGGCCGCTAAAATATGGGATATATAAAACTGCATAACCAAAAATGTTGTAACGATTCAGGATAAAATGCTCGAAAATTTTGATGAAAATTTGTCCGATTTTTCTAAATTTTGTATAAATTTTTAAATTTGGATAAATAGGGCTATGATGACAGCATGTTTTTATAGAAAAAAGAAATTGAGAATATTTATGAATTAAAAAAAATAAAATCTACACGTAAACGCTTCTTTGAAAAATTTAAAATTAAAATTTTTTAGAAATGTTTTAGCGAAAGTCCTAAAATATAATTCCAGTGAAAAGACAGCTTTTTCTTTTGGTGAGCCACCCTAATTTACATATACATATTTAGTAGTTGCTGCAAACGGCAATCTTATTTTCATTTTCGTGTTTCGTTTTTGTTTTCGACATTTTCGACATCTATGAAGACATTGAGAAGACATTTTAAGGATGTTAAGCTACGATTGCATTCTATGAAATGCGATAAGAGAAAGTTGCTGCCGCATCACTTTAAGATTGCATAAGACATAGATAAATAATCAGTATAGAAACAATGCCAAAGTACGAAACAATGGAAGAATAGTAGAGAAGTTATGCACATCTAAACATGATTACTACATATGTATGTATATACCAAGGGAAAGAACAAAGTTGAAGCAGATTAAACTGCTAATACTTTAAAAATCAAACCGCATATACTTTTTTATCTAATGCATATAATGACATATGTACATTCGATTGAGAGGTATGCTATGAAATGTTACAGCTGCACCTCAATCTGTTGTACCAAATGCTAGAGAACTATGCTGCTCACTTTGTTGCTCTAACTCAGATCGTTATCGTATTTAAGCTAGTATCGATCCTTCCCTAAATATCCTGGGATTTTTTCGGGGATACAAAGATATACAAAATTTAAGTTACGTTTTAGCTCCAAAGCAGGATATATTCCGGTAACCCGTTTTGTACCTTGTAGGGCTCTAAAAAACTAGAAAAACGGTTGAATTCTCAAAGTAACAGGCACTCCTAGAACATACACATACATATATGTATGTATATACAACACCCTCAAAATATATGAAAAATTCGAATGTCCGAATAGCATGAGGATACAAATAAAGGTATGCAACCAAAACAGGACACCTGTAGTAGGAAAAGCCTAGGCCCCTCGAGGACCTAAAGCATTGAAAATTCACTAAAAATATATGCTTACATTTAACTCTTAAAATACTCATTCTACGTGAAAAGTTCATAAAGAAGATATGATTTAGAATAAATCATAATAAGTAAATCATTGCAAAATAAAATTTTGCAATCAAACTCAAAATTTTCTTGATACAATTTTTATTAACCGCTGTTGCTTATATTTTCAGTTAAAGAAATTATATAAGCTTTATGTCATCAAACAGAGAATTCAATGCAGTCTTACGTGAATGTTTTACTTTTAAGAAAATGTGAAGTTTTAGTGGCATTGTCGGCATTCAAACGTATTAACTTCCAATTTTTATTTATCCGCTAGTAAAATTCAATATAAACGAGAAATCGTCAATTAAATGTTTATACCTTATTTCTAATATTGGTGCACTGATCTGATATGTAAAATATAGGTTGAAAATTATGGTTTTGAAAGTATTTGAGATACTATTGCTTAACATGGATTAAACAATAGTTAATTAATGGCAGTAAACGAGGGTGATGACCAGATGCTAGGAGCAAAAAGAGGCGCAGCTAAAAATTTCGCAACGAGTCTCTGAAGAGAATTTGCCGGGATAAGTCGCAATCGGCTACAATTCGGCATTAATTAGTCACAACTAGACTCGTACGCGCACGCAACGAATATTTTAATTCGTATTTTCTATTTCAAATATGAAAACGAAATAATGTTACTCATACGCCATGTATCCACAGTTTGAACAAACTTAAGGCTCTTAGTTAAGAGGAAAGAGCAACAAAAAAAAAGCTCAATTTTCCATATTTCTTAAACAATTTCGTAAACTAAGTGACCCACAGAATCCCAAAGGAAATTATTCCACTAGCTAGAGCCCACTCTTTTAGCATTTTTTAAAGAGATTGCATGCTCATCGCAGCACACTTTCCACTAGCAGCTAATTTATCTGTTTTTTTTTTTTAACTTATTAATACACAAACATATATAGCTGCCAGCAGCTATTTGTGATTTCAACTTTTCCCATACCTGTGTACACACAATTCACAAACGCACATCCCTTCCACGTTGATTGCATCCTCAAATAAGCGCCGGAAGAAAAAGTAACAATAAATGAAAACGAAAACAAAAAAAAAAACAAATACGTACAGCGAAGCATGCTTCACAAACTTATTGCAAGTCCACGCACAAACACGCGAAAATGCTGCTTAAAATACTTTTCAGCGTTCAATTGTTTATGTTTTTGTTTAAGTGCTACAAAAGTGGCTTATGCGGTAGCTTAACGTAACGCTGCAGAGTATTTCACTGAAATCATCGTTTCAGAATTCGCTTGATGTTGTTGAATTTTGTTTTCACAGCAACATCCTGCCATTATTTTTGTATTTGTATGGCTGCAAGCATGTGAGCTTGTACGCCTGTAGTGTAGTGTATGTTTGTGCGTATTCATGGTTTCTTTTTTTAGCTCAGCGCACTGAGTAGTTTAAAGTGAAAGCTGAAAGGATTCCTCATAATCGCAGCACTTAGTATTGACTGGAAATTTTGCTTTTAAGCAAGTTAAGCAATAAGTTATCGCAACGCTTGTATGGACATACGAATGTAAATATTTAGGCATATATTTGATTGTGAATGGTTTCTTGGTTTGATATTCTATTTTGGCAACTCCCACTGGAGTATGGATTGTGAAATATACATTTTGTGTATGCTTACATATCCTGAAGCGTTTTTGTAATTAAATTACAAGTTTGTTTAAAATTGATGGTTTATATTGAAATGGTGGCATATGGACATTCTTGTTAGTAAGCCATTTCACCTACAAAGCTACTTATGTAAGTGTAAAAGAGATTAAAACGATTGCTTTATTTATTAACTTAGAAAGTTTTACTAGGCAATTTAAACATCAACAGCACAATCAATGCCTCAGGTGGCACTGTTAAGCAAGCAACTGAAAACTATAATTATTAACTATGTATGTACGTATGTATTTCCATGTTTCTTTGGCATATAAAATAACGACCGTTATGAGAAATTTGTAAAGCGTAATTTTTGTTTGTTGATAAAGGGATCCGCTTTTCAATTGCCTACCGAGCCCCAAGTACCTAGTACCTGATGGCAAGCGCTTGTGTTCGCTTGATATAAAGGCTGATATTGTTGGTGGTGTTTGTCTTTAAATTCTCTTACCTAGTAAATTTAATAAAAAAAAAATTCTATCAGTGAGTGTTGGGCTGACTTCCAAAACGTAGCAATTCAATGTTGGGATACGATATTTAAGATGTTTGTATATGCAGAGTTGCGAAGCATTGTAACCGTATACATTGCATATTTTGAATATTCATTATAACAATTATCACCCTTTCGCAATTTTCCAATTATAAAACATCAATGGTCACCAAAACAAACGGAGCATCAACTTTTTTTTCTAATGCGCTGATTACTCTGGCGATGCGCTCTGATAACTTTTCGGATGCGTTTTGGAAAAGTATACATTGTTAACATTTCTTAGTTCGGCGCTATGGAACTTTACACTTTGTGCGGATCCATAGCCTTGTTTGTAGATTATCGCAATAAAATCAAGTCTAGTGGTTGCGTAATCTAAGTCTGAATCTCGTTCATAAACTCATAGAGATAACTTGTGCCGTGTCTCTGCTTACAACTTTTAGACACGACAGAAAGCATCTTTGCGAAGCAGATCTACCTACTGGACATGAGCACACTTCCAAAATATCGGCAATCGCATTGACGTAAAGAGAAAGCTTCAATACCCATATGCTTACTGTAATCACCTGAACTCAACAACATCAGCAAAACTAAACCAATGGGCTTAAATTAGCTGTGCGAAAGCACCGTCTCAGTAGTTCCCGCTTGGGAAACATCATTGAGTAGACGAAGAAAAAAGTTTCTAATTCCTTTACTAACTTCTCTCCAGGCTATAGCTGTAGAAGAAAACGACCTCTATTAGCGCCCTTGTTGCTTCAAATATTTTAAAAGCAACTGTCAGTCAAGTCCCCACCACTGAAGGCTAAAGAAAATTGTCTTCTGTTCGGAAATATAAGATAAGATACAGAACTAATCTGAAAGAGAAATAGATGTCTGGAATATTTTGTGAGTGAAACCTGACAGTCTGACTTTCGAGCTTCGAAGGCCTTTAGCGAGGTAACCACGTAGCATGTTAGACAAGCACGCTGACCCAGACTGATCATACGAGACCCTAAGCTGCATCAAAGACGAGTAGTCTTTTCTCTTATGTTGATGACGACTTTGAAATGTTTCAAAGTGTTCATTTCCTTCTAACTTCAAGCGCTTGCCCCTCACATTTGAAAGAAAGTACACAGTTCGCGGAAACAACAATAAGAACTAAACTATCCGATTTGTTTGCCATCAGTTTTCCAAAATGTGTTCGCAACAAACTACATAATCTAAGGAGAAAACATATTTTATCGTCAAATTTAAAAAAATGAATTCTCAGGTCAAACCGGGCGCAAAGTAGTTAAAATAACCTAAACAGGATAGAGAGGACCAGCATGTTTTTAAAAGGTGAGTAAACAATATAGTACTTTCTCTCTCTGTTTCGCTTCAGTTCATATCGAGGCTTTATATTTAATACCCTCTATCCGCAGTTTCTACAAAAATTAGCTTCAGATATAAAAAGCTTGTGAGTAGAATTCACTATTTTATTGTACAGTTAGAACTAACATCAGTGATTATTAAAATTTGAGATAGAGTGTATTGAAAATAAGTACTCGATATCTATTTCCGCATATGTCAAACTTACCTGAGGCATATATCCAATTCGCGGGCCCGGTACACCAGAACCTCTGGAGCCTGGCCGGCCGCCGAGTACCCATATTTCTCCGGAGTTCAAGCGACGTCTTCCAACAATGCACGAAAGTAATGTTGTCTTGCCACAGCCTGAAGCGCCCAAAAGGCCATAACTGAAAGGGAAAAAATATATATAGAAAATCAGCACAAAAGCTAATACGAAGCATTGCTCGAATATAATAGTATGCGAGTAAGTAGGCAATTAAATGAAGTATTTATTTTAAAGCAAATTCTTTTAAGTATTGACAAAAATACTAATTTACTATTTAAAATTGGATTTTGGGACAGAGAGTTTCCACCTGTTTGAAAATTGTAGTTTAAGTAAATTGATAAAATAATAAATAAATAAATAGCTCGAGCCCTCCCCCCCCCCTAAATTTCAAATTTTCCTTATATATATATATAAAATAGTACCCTGAAATGCCAGCTTAATAGGGTCGAGCCCCCCCCCCCCCCTAAATTTCATTCTGGCTACGCCGATGAGCTTACAACCGATAAAATGTTTGTCGAAGGTTGCCACCTGTTTGAAAATTTTATTTTAATTAATAAAATAATCTCAATGGTAATGGCAATATGGGCATCAAACTAAAGAAGTTTAGGAAAGTTTACTGCCGAAAACATTTTTGAGGGGGTTGCCACCTGTCTCAAAAGTTTTACTCATTTAAATTGATAAAATTTATGAAATATTACAATACTGGTGTTAAACTGACGAGGTATAAGAAAGTTTATGGTCGAACATTTTTTTAAACGGGTTGCCACATATCTGAAAAATGTAGTTCAGTTAAATTGTTAAGAGAAGGTAGATATTGAATTATTACACCTTTAATTAAGTGCCCAGTATATAGACTCGAGTTATAAGATTACAAATTGAAATTTTAGGAGAAATGTGATACTCTACCTGCTTTCTAAATATATTCGAAAATATGTGTATTACCTAACACACACATTTATAAAAAATAAAGAATGCTTCGTAAATCGAAAAATGTTTTTAAAATCTCGCTTCATAAATCTATTTCATACTAGTTTTGGCAGGAAGTAGCAACACTAAAATACCTTTCAGACGCAGTAAAGCACGCCGGATATTTGCAAGTCTTGAATTAAGGGTAAAAAATACCCATGGAAAGGAAAGTTCAAGGGATACAAATTTATTTGTTGTTGTTTTTTTTTTAATTTTACTAAGGATCTTTCAAGATAAAATTAATTATATTTTAATCGAATTATCGACCGGGATATAGAATTCAAAGCCACTGTAAAAAACATTTTGATACATAGAGCAAAGCTTGATTAGAGGCCTAAAATAACTGTCCCACTGTATTATGAAAATTGCTTTCCATTTTTTTTTTCACAATTCCCTAAATCATATAAATAAAATTTTACTTTGCCTGTGACTAACCACGCGTAATTCAAAAAACAACTGAGGTAACACGCCATCAGATTTTGTTTTAATATGAATACAAGTACAAATAAACATACAATTAAATTATGAAAACCTACATTTAAACAAAAAAAAAAACTATTTATTCTACCTAGTCTACTGGAAATCGAATAAATGTATTTATTTAGCAATTAATTGCACTGAATATTATTAATTAAAAGATTCCATTACACATATTATAAAATAACAAATCACACACACCTGCGAGCAACGAAAACTGAATAAAGAAAAAAAATAAAATAGAAGGAGAAGCAATTACATTCAACTACCTGAATATTTAAGGAAATGCTCCATTCTCAATGCGAACGGAAATTAAATGAAAAAGTCGAATATTTTTCGCCCGCAAACAATTCGAAATAAATTAAACTTTTAATTACACACTTGTTATTTAGGAGCTTAAATAAACTTTCATTACTTTCACGCTTAATTATTACACATTCATGAGTGAGCGAAAATGAGCTAGCAAAATGAGTACGCCAGTGCCAATGCCAACACAAACGCCAACTAAACGAGCAACTAACTAATCAGCATGACGACCAAAATCGAGCACTTTAACGCGGTGATATACGAATACTTGTGCGAGTAATATTTACTTGCAACTCTTAAGTAGGCGTAGTGGAGCAGCTAAAGTGCGGTGAGTAAGTGGAACTTAGCTAGGCACTTACATACATATACATATATATCTACTTTCACAAATTCGTACAAAGTTCATGCCAAGTTTTAAATTGTCTTTAAAGCAAAAAAAAAGGAGAATTAGCTTAAGAAACAGAAGGCTTGCGCTGTGTGTGTCTGTGTGTGTTTTTGTAAGTAGCTTTGTTATCTCAGTGTTAGAAATGTAAATCCAATTAGCCTAGCAATTTTGGTCTGAAGGCGGAAATTAGACTTCATTAGTGTGTTCATGTACATACATATGTATTTAACGCCTACATTTATACTTCAATAGTTGCATTGAAATTAGATTCGCTTACTTAGAAATATATGTATGTGTGCATGTCGGGCATACAATCGCTTCACAATGCCTTTTCATATTCACACTTTCGCCTTAAACTTTATAGTAGTTGCTTGCACCTTCACTGTCACCTTAATAATTAATCTGTGGATTCCATTAAAATGCAATTATCTACATACAACTAAGTATTTGTGTACTTCAAAAATGTCCACAAATATTTTACAATCACAGCCCAGCGCAATGGCACTTACTGCGCTGTCCTCCTCTATCCACTCAAACTTCTAGCACTTTCTATTGACTACTCTATATACAGTATTGGACATATCTATAGCACCCCCCTTTCAAAGCGATATTGTCTGCCACTTATGTTTAATTATTTGTTTTTAAGAATTTTCAATTAAAATACAGTTCATTCTCTAACAAAACCCATATAAACCAATGTTTTAAACTTTTTAAAAGACCGCAAAAAAGTGCAACAAACTTTCCCTTAAATTTCAAACTTTTTTTCTCAGAAGCTCTAGAATTTTTTTGAGTACACAGTTTTATAGCGCATTCAATTTTGTCCAATAATGTGGAAGTTTCAAGTCGCTAATGATTACCGTTGATTTTTAGATTTTTTTTTTGTCTCATTTGCTTCCATATAACGACTAAACACAATTTATTTTTATATGGCAGAAACCCGCAACATCCTCGGCGAAAAAAATTCTAAAAAATCAACGGTAATTTTTAGCCACTTGAAACTTGCACATTATTAGACTAAAATTGAATGGGCTATAAAACTGTGTATTCAAAAAAATTCTACCGCTTCTGAGAAAAAAGTTTGAAATTTGGGTGAAAATTTGTTGCACTTTATTGCGGCCTTTTAAAAAGTTTTAAACTTGAGTTTATGTGAGTTTTGTGAGAGAATTAACTGTATTTTAATTGAAAATTCTTAAAAATAAATAAATAAACATGAGTGGCAAACAATATCACTTTGAAATGGGGGTGCTATTGTATTGGCCAATACTGTATATATATTGTCGAGAAACATACACTCATACATATATAGTGTACTCGTTTCTATGCGCTTTTGTTGGTAGCTACTATGTCAATTAGCAATGCAGTACTTAGTATAAGTAGTTGTAGTACAACAACTTGAACAGGTGTAATTTGGTCAGTCACCAGTCTTATGCTTACAATGAACGCCAATGAACGCACCACCTGCCACTTATCATCTGCAGCCATCACTTTGGCCAGCACAACTCTCTTCTTGTCTTAATCGTTCTCCACTTTTGAGCCAGTGCAATGCAATGAATTGTAACAAAAAAAAAAACTCTAAGCGGAACGTAGTTGTCGGTCTTTGCCAGTGCGCTAGTAGTAGTGTAAATCCCCAACTCAATAGACTTTGCACAGCTGTCGAACTAAATATTTTTGCCGCATTGCAAATTCAGTTAGACATGCATTTCATTGTTTTTAAGCCCAGTAGTACGGAATCAGAAGTCGCAGTAAAAGAAACTTACATTAATACCTGAACCAGTTGATAGCCACTGCAACTATTTACTCTGAAAGAATTTCACAAAATGCATCCATTTATAAGAATAACTAAAAAATTTCAAAAATTAAAAAAAAAATTCCAAATGGTAGTCAGAGTTATAATAGATCCGATTGCCATATTTCACCAAAACCGTGCAGCCGTTTCTGAGTGAAGTCCCGCATAGTGCATGTTTTTATTCTCATCGAATTTCAAACCACCCTGTACCGATGAAAAAAGTTCATAATTAAAAAAATTAAACTTTATCATACATATATCTACAGGCTAAGGTCTAGAATTTGACCTCTCATTTTTTAAATTCTTATTCGCTAGTATTCTCAAACTTAAATCTTCTTAAAACTCCGTCGTCTGACACTGTGATGCGCATGTACTTCACTAAACTAATGAACTAATTCGGATTTGATTGTTCGAGCAAATGGCAACCCTCCTAAATAAAGTCAGGAATTAATCCCTTTCACTATCCAATTTCAATGTTGAATTGCTCGGTGATTCAGAAAGTTTGGTTAATAATTTTTTTCTATGGATACGGTTTCGAGATATTTGCAATTTGCTAGTTTCTCACATATTAATTAATCACTGCAAAAAAAATATCAAACTTTAACAGAAGAAAAGTTAAAAAAAACAACAGGTTCTGTGCCCAATTTTTGCGTTTATGCTAAAGCCTGTTCTATTAGAAAAAAATCCAGTTACTAATGAAGGAAAACGAGGGATAAATAAGGAAGAAATGAGTAGTGAAATTAAAAAAACACGCAAAGATTTTTTGTATCCTGTAAAACTCCACATCTGCTTAGCTTTGGAGTGGTAAATGTTCGCCTGCGCTATCGCCGGTGCAAGGTATATTATGCATCTTACCTTCGCTTTAGTCGCTAAAGTTTCCACCAGAAGAATGTATGAGTAGTCCGTTGGGCGAAAAGATAGGTTCAGATTGCTTTACTCAATGAAAATCCCTCCATCTACCCAGCATTCCATTTTTGATGCGTCAGTAAAGACAGCTATGCCCTCCATGGAAAGAGTTTCTCGGCAAATTCGTTCCGTGTGACGTGGTAATTTTTTGCGACGTTTGTCTTGGGTCTAGGGTTTTAGTATTAGGTAGTGGTTACGCAGTATTTTTATTTCAAATGGGATCCTACTTAAAATAGCACTATGGCCGTTCGTATGGCACCCGTTGCGCCAACACTTACTGACCTCGTAAATTTCG